GGAGGGGGAGAGGAGGAGGAGGAGGAGGAGAAAAAGGGTTCCTCAGCAACAATCTTTATAAAGATTTAGAAAGAGGATTCAAAGACCTTCCTATTCCAAAGCAACTACTTTTTCAATTATATACACTTGTCTTGTAGTAATGGGGTGGGAAAGCCCCATTCTATTTCACATGGCTTGTATGATTTACATTTTTGGTTGCAAAATAGTTCAAAGGCTAGATCTATAAACTGTTTTTGAATTGCAAACTTCATATTTGCTCATTAGCCACAGACTGTTAGTCCCCACAAAGTGTGCTATCAAGGATATGATCTAGAAATTCATGATGTGACTGAGTATAACAAGTCTATTACCACAGGTGTACATTGGCACCATTAGAAAGTCTGCATTTGTTTTATGTATTCATACATGACAGTAGAAAGTATTCTGACATACCATACGTAGATGGAGTAAAAGTTCCCATGTTTGTGGTTGTATATGATGTGAAATTACACTGGTCATGGAATCACATATGAACATAGGAATGCTATGTCAGATTCATTCTACTGTCTTTCCCTTTCATATCCCCCCCCAATTCCCTCAGTACCAAAAGTAATAGCAAAGAAAGGAAATTGACCAAAAAAATTTCCACACATAGATGGAATATTAATCTGTGCACAAAACACAAGATATATATATTTTTTATTAACAGATACAGAAAGTCACCTCTCTGCCAATATCAACTCACCATATTTTGTACATACAAAGTTGGAACATTTGTAAGGTTTTTCTTTGTGTAGTCACTTGAGTTTTCTTTTAAAGTTAATAATTTCAAAAACCAATTAAAATATATCTGATCCTCAAGAGTGTAAACTAAATTGATGCTTTGAGGAGCTGGATTCTCCTTTGAGGTCCAATTCTTAGCTAACATTCATATACACAGGTTGGTATGAATGTTCAGGAAATCTTGAGCACATATAGAGAAATAAGCCATCATGTTCAGTAATTTAGGAGGAAGAAAATAGGGGTAGATAATTTTGTATATTAAGAAAATAGGGGTAGATAATTTTGTATATTTTGTGTAGTATAAACAAAATTCCCATGGGAAGTCTGCTGTGTTCCTCTCGAAACACTGAGGTGAGGCCACCTAATGAGACTGGGCACAAGAAGGTGGGGCAGGTGGAACTTTCAGGACAGGAGATGATGGAGTGAAGAGAACAGTACTGTCAGCCAAGGCAGTGGAAGTTCTGGTCAGGGCTGAGGGTCCTGCAGAGGGTGGAGATTACAGATTTCTGCTGGAAGTAGGCTGACCTATTGAGTTAATGTCATCAACATGCTAGGATTCACAGACATTTGTGAGAAACTGGATCATTTATATAGTTAATGATTCAGAAAGCTGGCGATTTAAGAGGAATTTTGAAAAATAGAACAGAGACTTGTTGAACAGTTTGGGATAATGCATTTGTTAGAGCTGAAAGAATTTAGAGATACTTTTTTTTTTTTCCACAGTGTACCCGGTTTTTCCAATCAAATTTCTCAAAGTGTAGTCTCACACCAAACCATATGAGGCAGATGAGCTTTGTTACATACAAACAATATGTTTTTCTGTAAGAAATTAATCAATAAAATCAATAGCAGAAAGTGGATTTTTAGACCACAATTATAAAATGTGAATAGTTTCCATTTATTTTCTTTTTAAAATTGAAGTGGAAAGGATTTACCAAAAATGTTCTCTCATTCAGATTTTTTCTATAAATAAAAATGTGTAAATTTTAAAAATAGAATCTTAGGTATAAAAATTTCTGTGGACTGAAAGAACAAATTGTTAATTAATGTGTCTAATTTTCCAAGCGTAAATATGAACCTCCTCTCATTTGGAAAGCAGGACAACAGTGTAAAGTTTGTCTTTAAAAGGAATTTTCTGTTGATGTATTGAGCTTCTATTTATCCATTTTCTGATTGTTACATATTACTGTCAAACATTATAATAAATCATAAAATTTACAAAAAAGATTTTCTTAGAACCAAATAGGACTGGTTCAATATTAACAGAATGGTAATACAAGTATAGTTAATGGTGTATTTCAGATCTGAAAGGACAATGTACTCATTTGTTTTCTAGGCACCACACAATCCTAAATTCTTTTTTTTTTTAGAATTCAAAATTATATCTTTTTTTAATTTCTTACACACATGACAATAGTGGAATGCATTACATTCATAATTATCCATTCACAGCACAATTTTTGTAACTCTGTATATAAATATGTTCTCACCAAATTATGCCATTATACATGAGCTCTCTTATTTTTTTTTGAATTACAATTCTTAATACACCTTTATGCCACAATTTATCATATCTATTTGTATATAAATTCTTATTAAGAATGCAGTGTTAATTCATTTGCACAGCAATGTTTAAACCTCACATGGATATTTTGCAAGGTTAGTACAATGTTCCCGTTATTGCTGTGGTTCAGATTTTATCTGATGTGCCTTTCATGGTTCAAGCATTTACTCTTCCAACTTTTTCCAGTTGTTTTGTTAGCTGAGAGTTCATATCTGACTTTGGCTGTTAGAATTTCCTCATAAAGGAACTGTCTTGCACAAGATTATACATCCTCCTACTTGGTAATTCACTTCCCAAACTGAGCATGTGGAGTCAAAGTTTCGCCCAGGTCTGTAGAGCCAACTCAGCTCCAGCACTCATTATCTGAGTGCCTGAGCCTTCTTTTGTAAGTCATCATGCTTCAGTTTCTTTTGTCCATCCTCCTTCTCTCCCAGTACAAGTTTTGTTGCTGAGAATGCTCTTCAATAAACTTCCTGCATACAAATGTCTGCCTTACAATCTGTTTGCCTTGAATCCAAACAAAACCACTAATGCATATATGACAAATCCAAGACTTAGAAAGCTGAATATCAAAACTGAAACATGGACTCATGTCAGCCCTATCCAAGGGATTGATACTTTTCTCTAACATGATGATGCATCTGATGGGCCTGTGTAGACACACTGAAGATTCTAGGAGATTAACAAGTATCTCTCATTTTATATCATCTACCTGAATATAGAGAAAAAGCTTAAATAATTATCTAATAAAATTCATATGAAATATATATATCTTTTACATAACAAGAGGATAGGTGACATGGCCTTAGTGTAGGTGTTTCTGTAAGATCTTTCTCAGGGCCTCTTTCACATCTTTATTTTTCAGACTGTAGATGAGGGGGTTCAGCATGGGGATGACCACTGTATAAAACACAGAGACAACCTTGTCCTGCTCCATTGAGTAGCTAGATGTGGGTCGCAGATACATGAAGAGAATGGTTCCAAAGAAAATGGTGACTGCCACAAGGTGGGAGGCACAAGTGGAAAAGGCCTTGCGCCTTCCCTCTACTGATCGCATCTTCAGGATGGCGATGAGGATGCACAGGTAGGAAATGAGGACAATCACAACACAGCTGATGACGTGAAAACTAGAAAAAGCCATGATCACAATGCCATTGATGTGGATGTCCGAACAAGACAATTTGAGCAGAGGTGGGGTGTCACAGTAGAAGTGGTTGATCCTATTAGAGCCACAAAAGGACAACCTGAAAGTCATGCCTGTGTGGATGGCTGCATTTCCAAAGCCTGCAAGGAAGCAAGTACCCACTAATGAGAAACAAATTCTGTTAGACATGAGAACTGGGTAGAGCAGGGGGTTCCAAATGGCTGCATAGCGATCATATGCCATGGTGGCCAGCAGGAAGCACTCAGTTCCCAGGAAGGAGCCAAAGAAGTAGAACTGGGCAGCACACCCATTAAAAGAAATGGCCTTGTTCTCAGCCACAAGGTTCACCAGCATCTTAGGAGTGACAGAAGAAGAGTAAGAGGCATCCACAAAGGACAGGCTGCTGAGAAAGAAGTACATGGGGGTGTGGAGGTGAGGCTCCATCTTGATCAGTGCAATCATGCCCAGGTTACCCACCATGGTTGCCACATAGATGGACAGAAACAGTGCAAAGAGGACACCTTGCAGATGGGGATTGTCTGAGAGTCCCAAGAGGACAAACTCTGTCACTTCTGTCTGATTTCTTCTCTGGACCTCTTTCATGAGCCTGATCATCTGAAAGACAATAAGAGAGATGATGGGACACTGCGTTTGGTCAGATGAGTACCTGACAGATTTGTAAGTATATTTCAGTGGAATATATAAATTCTAAAAGAAGAGTAAAAAGTGAAGAGCACAGTAAACAAGTGTGTTGGACTTGATGTCAAGTAAAAAACCTGTATCTTTGTACTAGGTGTGCAGCCTACAAATCATCCTGAGACAAGTGGCTAGTATCCATTAACTATGATTGCTTTTGGCTTTAACTATTATTTCATGTATAAAGCAATATTTTTTTTGGCACCAGGTATTGAACACAGAGTGCTTAACCACTGTGCAACAACCTAGCACATTTATTCTTGTTTTATTTTGAAATAAGTTCTCCCTAAATTGTTTAGGCCTCACTAAGTTGCTGAGGCCAACATTGAACTTTACATCCCTCTGCTTCAGCCTCTAGAGCTGCTGGTATTACAGACATGTACCACCATGCCAAGCTGATTAAACAATCTTAAGAGATTACTATATATATTTTTTATGATAATTAAATTAAATTAATTGATAAATTAATATGCTTCCTATGTACAACTTCTGGACAAAGAGCACATAATGAATTAAACCACTGAATATTCCTTTTCTATACAATGAGTATTAATAAAATACATTGAAAGTTAGCAGTATTAGTCAACCCTGCCAAGCAAGGCAAATAGCTTGTTTCTAATGAAATGGGTGCTTTAAATTTATGGCCAAAAGTAATAGAGGATATCTCATATACCCAATATGGTTCCAATATCACTTCCAACTTTCAGAGTTAACATGTGCAAACCAAAAAGAAGTCAGTTAGAATTTTAGGATTTTTAGTAATTCACTTCAGTAATTACAAAATCATATTATAAGAATGAGGAGAAATCCCTGATGATAATTATTAAAGGTGATGACATAGTGAAACCTCCTAATGATCAGAATCACAGGATCATAAGAGAAACTATAGCAGGGGAAAGTGAGGGTAGATAACTATAGGCTATTATACATCTCAAAAGGATACAAAACAAAATTTTGAATACTTTAATCATAATAAAGTACATTTTTGGAGAGTTAGATAAGTTTAACCTGGCTTACGCATATACAAGAGAAACACATATGAAAATAACATGATACCCAATTAAACTATCTTTTTTTTTTTATTGTGATGCTTTCAATTGAATCTGGGACCTCATGCATACTAGGCAAACACTCTACCACTGAGATAAATCTCTAGCATAATAACCAATTAAGATACACAATTTTTTGTTCTTATCTACCAGTTAGAATGAATGTAATTAGAAGTAATTTAAAAAATCACCAGAATTAGAAAGCACCAAAAGTCAGACACAAAACTTTCTAGTTGCAATGTTAAGTTAGGGGAATAATCTGACTCCAGTTTATTTAAATGGAAATAAGACTTATTCCTTGCAAGATATAAATGAAGCCAGATATGGGACAAAAAAAGAAAACTTAACAGCTTTGCCCAGCCTTGATCTTCCAAGTAAAATTTTGGATGACACCTATTGATCAAACACTTCTTCAGTTCTTTTACACAATCCTGCATACTTTTTATGGCCTCAAATTTTTAAACAATAGATATAACTGTGCCAGGATGACCATAAAATATATGGCTCAGAAAGTAAGACTAAGTATTAAATCATGTATTAGCCAGAGAAAGTAATTATTGACTGCTGTCTAAAATTAATACATGGGACCAACATTACTCAATACTTTGCTCATGTTGGAAATAAAGAGTCCACTGTATCCAGGTGGGGGAAGAGTGGGCAGTAGCTGACTCCATAGGTACCTGTGCTGCCATACAAGAATGGTCTCCAAATTCTCTGCTCAACCTAGTTCCCATTGAGATACACTGAAAAGCATAAGTCATTCTAAAACCTCATCTTTTCACAGCTTTACATTTTTAAAGCATCCTTGCACCTTTTATATTAGCTAAGCTTGACCCAACATCAATGAAAGAGATGAATAATATTCCAAGAGTATTTAAAAAATGAAGTGTTACATGAAGCCAGCATGTTCAGAGGTTCTCGGCTACTCAGGAGTGAATCCCAAACTATAGCCTATAAGTCTCTTGATGCCAACACACTTGCTTTGTGGCTGGGTATGCAACTCAGAGATCCAGAACTTGTATAGCATACACGAGGCCTTGGGTTCTATCCTCAGCACAAAAATAATACAAAATGTTTGTTCTTTTTCAACATCACATGGTTTATTTCTGAATTTCTTTGGCACTAATGTCCCATATACAGGCTCTTCCCAGGAAAGAAGAGTCTGATATTTGAACTTCAAGAGTAGCATCTCCAGAAATTTAAAAAAAAAAAAAAAGACATAGATTTTGTTTCTTTTACTCCCCAAACAGGAAGTATCCCTGAGAATATAAATCTAACAAAAATAGTGAAAAATTAGAATACCTAAAATGCCTTAGCCATATTAATAAAGTAATAATGGATAAAAAATCACTAGTATTAAAATTATTGAATTTCTTTGTTTAATGATTTCTTGTGCTCTACAAGTACTGTGCTGTTTTTCTTGTATTATTCTATTTAAATCCTATAGAATAGGCAGTATTATTCTCTCCTTTTATAGAGTGGAATGCAAGGTACAAAAGATTATCTTGTGGAGACTCACAGTTAGACTAATGAAGTCTAAACTAGTACTCAGCCATGTAAATCTCACATACTTAACACTTGCGAACATTCACAATTACTATCAATAATAGATTGAGTATTAATCCATAAAACATTTGATGGTGTAATTTTCAGAGTTTCATTAATAGCTCATAATACACTTAATTACACTAAAAAGTTATTTTCTGGTGAGAAACTATGATTGCTAAAAGTTGCCTTTCTTAGAATGCACATTTACTAATATGCATTATTTGCAAAATATAATTTGTTTTACATTCATCTCATAATTCTGACAAACATTTCCTGATTCTCTGTGATATTCTCCCTCATGTTGTTGAGATTTTGAGTTCAAAGAGAATTACTCCAGGTTTTACATTTCTAAGAGTTTCTGAAAATTACTAAGATTTACTGAGATATATCAGGTGGATAAAACGTCCATATTAATAATATTATTTGCTCCTGCTCATGTTTATCCTCAAGATGTACAAATCTCTTATCAATAAAATGGATGTAACACTTATTTCACATACTTTCCTAGCTACTCAGTGATTCTGCAAATTTTGGCCAAAGGACGATTAAGGAAATGAACAGCATAATGAATTTTTCGTAATGTGATAAAGTTAAATGAACAGGACTCTTTATATCTTTTCCTTACCTTTTTACACTGCTTGACTGTTATTTTATTCCTTTGCTCATTCTTCTTCTATGCCTAAATTTACTAAAACAAAAAAAGGAAAAATACATGTAACTCCTTCTTAGAGAAGATACTCACTTCTAATGTCCCAAGGTAACCAGGGAGCACAGTTAGAATAGACTTAGAGACCACACATTACATATGTTTGAAAACCTAAAACTACTCTGCATTCAGCAATGAGGAAGTTTCTCTCTCTCTCTCTCTCTCTCTCTCTCTCTCTCTCTCTCTCTCTCTCTCTCTCTCTCTCTTTTTCCTTTTTCTGAAAGTTAAATACTCCAACTTAATATGTCAGGATAGAGTACCTTTCAGAATATAAAGTTTATCACTGCAGTGTAGCTGCAATTCAGTTCACAGTTATCTGCAGTTATAGTCTTAGGAAGAGACTCCAGAGTAAGCATCCTAACTTATTTAAGTAGAATAATTTCTTGTTCTTTTGACTCTGGGGACTGTGTCCCATAGGTTTCCTGATTGCAGTCTACTCACTTTTCCCCTCTGAAACTAAGAAAATCACAGGTCTCTTTCATATTTCTGTCCTTTACCCTTGGGATACATGATCCCAGAGGAGAAGGAATTTCGAGTCCCATATTCTTAACCACCATTATGCAACCTTCTTCTGTCTCCCCTGATAAGCTTCTTTGGAAAAAATTAAAAGTCCTCAAAATTGCAGTTTCACTCTACTGCTGGGCCTCCTTTCTATAAGGAGGCCTGGAAAATGGCTAAGGAGCTGAGTGGAGGATACACCCTACAGAGGAAGAGAGAACAGGCCTATTTGGGGCTTGGAATCCTAGGTCTGTAGAATCAAGCTTGTGAGACTTTGTATATTTCACTAAATCTCTCTGTACTTAAGCTTTATCATTTCTAATGACTCAGGTGACTTTAGAGTTTGATTAATGAATGTGAGTTGGTGTATCAAATATATATATATAATTGGTGTATCGATTATATTTATGTATTATATATACATATATAATATATATTTGATACACCAATTTTATATATATATATATATATATCAATGATTTTCCCTTCCCCTAACACACTGTTGCCCACTCTTCAGAATAAAAGGTAGGTATCAGTCTCCATAGTCAAGATTAAGATGCACGAGAAACTCTATCCTCCAAATACATCTTCAATATAAGGGGTTCATTGTCTGACTCAAATTGATCAGTATCTAATAATGATTTACATTGTTTAGGCTACTTTGAAAAGATTGATTAGTGTGTCTCAGTATTACTTCATTAATACATTTTTCACTAAATAAAGGACTCAAATACTCACATGATGACTGTGATTCAGAGGAGAAATGTTTGCATGATTTTGGTTAAATCTGTTTCCAGGAATTGTTTATTTGTTTTAATGATGCCTGTATGGAATGTACAATAAGCTCCTATCAATGCTGAGTATGAAACATAACTAGCAAAAATGAAGAGTTATTAAAAAACAAATAATTCCCATCAAAGTGTGGATTAGTTGTCTTTTGGAAACAAACTGTAATAAATCTAATGAGATTAAAGTTTGTGTAATTGGAGTATGGGTGGTTGTTAGAAGTCAGATCACATAACACTAAGAAGTGAGTGTAAGTGATCTAGGATATTGGAAGTGTGGTAACATCAAACTGGTGAAATTGGGCTGTGGACTACAAGAAAGAAATTGGGTCA